TATTTTCTATTCAAAGAAAGATCACGTCACATATGTGACCTGTCATACCAAAATGAGCTAAAAGTTGGAATTTTTAAGAATTGAGGTATATATATATATATATATCTGGATTATGCCAAACATTAGCTTTCCAATGGTATACAACATTAAGGGGTACTGAGTTTAGTAAGAGAAATCCACCAACTTACTTGAAGTTGTAAAACCGATTCTTAAGAAAATGGCATTTAAAAATCCTGCAGTTGCGTTACAGTGAATGGACAGTCAACTTGTAACAGACGAGATGAAAAAGGTTTTTAAGATGTTTGACAGAACAAAAAATTGGAGAAAGGTAGCGCAGGACTTTACAGATTAAGATTCTCCTGAAAACAAAAATCGACCACCCCTTCAAATTTTGGCTTTGCCCCATTGTACTGCACAATGGCAATCTCCGACTTTCAGCTCATTTCGCGGTGACAGGTCATATATTACCTTCTTCTTTATCGTTTTAATTATTCGGCACTGTGCAAAAGAGCTACCTGAAATAGCGTGGTCAAAATTATCGTCCTTTGATCTGCCACTTAACACTTCAATTGTGCCTCAAGTACCATTCAATTCAGTTCAATTCACTGGCAACATTTATTCCTTACTTTCGAGCAAAGCCCGTTAATACGTACACGCGGGACAAAAACTGCTTATCCTAAAATCCATCATTTATTCCAATTTTATATGGATGATATTTGTTGTTGAACTCCAATTTAAATTTAAATTTAAATTCTAATGGGCAATGTGTAAATTGGATTATTTTTATAAAAAAAACCTGGTGCATTATGCAAAACACGTGTACAGAAAACGTGGGGGTGAAATGCTGAATAATGTATTTTGCGCGGCGTGAAATGAACGTCCTGATTTTGCATGGAATAGAATATTATCGGGGACAATGTCATTTGTTTCTCCTATTTTACATTCGATTTTCATTCGGAAATATGGAAAGGCTGTTTTTAAAAGCAGAAATTGCTAGGAATTCTAGTATGCTCTTATCATCATCAGGGTGGTTCGGTATTATGAAACAATAATTGGACACAATTCAATTATCTCCATTAGAGCATTATGTCGAATCAATAATACACTATTGCTTGGATAAAAAAAACCCGCAATTTCAACGGGCATAACTCTATACGGATGGAATTACCCTCAATGGATGAAATCGCTAATTTGATAAAGCCTAGCCTTGAATCCCTCTTTAAAGATTGTTTTCTCCGAAGGGAAATCTTATGGCTCGCCTAAAAAAAAAGCTCTTGAATGACATAAAGAACTACGATACTCATCAAGAACGAAGAAAAAAAAAGTCCTCTTAGCATTCTCAACAGGACTGTGAAGACGCTTCGTGTGTCAGCCCCTTAGCCAGTGGACATCAAAAACCGAGGAATTTAGAGGAGATTAGACGAGAAGCGCTGGAGGGATGCAAGACGAGACGAAGATGGAGAAATAAGAAGACGGTTTGGGGGGAAGGAAGGATCTCGGAAAGAAAACCCGGATAAAAGGGACAAGTCAAGATTAGATGTCTTAGGGGAGAAAGGTCTTCTTTACAGCAAGGTTAAAAGAGTTGCTTTATCATACCATGGGTTAGTGTAAAGTCGCTCCGTGGCATCTGTCACAGTCAAAACGACTAGGGGCAAGGGGGCTGCAAAATGAGATTCCCCATCGATATTATCTCACCATCAACCATACTTTATCGTTCACGCGGATAACAACAAAATATTATAATACAACCCCAAAAAATCATCAGATAGGGAATTTGACTTATTGGTAATTGGCGTGATTGTATTGAAAGATAGGCTAAAGTAGCAACCATTATCAGCTCAGTGACTTCAACCAGTGACGTCACGTTTCGGAAATGCATTATTTATTCATTACATGTAAATGAGATGATCTTGACATCGTGCTTGTCATGAAATGGCTTCGAAAATGAACCCTACACTCTTAAAAGTCGCCTTCTACTTGGCCTAACCCTTTTCCGGATCACAAATGTCACTCTTTCAGTCAAAAATTAAACTTTTCCTGGTGAAAAAACCGACTCTTTTCAGGGTCATTTCGACCGAGAAACATTGGCAAAAAGTGTCATTTTGACCCGGTGAAGTGTCAATTTTGACCCTGTAAAGCATTTGGCCAAATAGAGTCCGTATTCCGGGTCAATCTGACTGAGGACTTTTTAAAGTGTGAAATGCTCTTCTCCGGCGTAAAAACGTTCATGGTTTACAGATATTTTTTGCCAACAAAATACATACAACTGCTGATGATTTGGGAATGAAATTTAGTTTCCAAAATTTGTTGTACTTTTGGGCTTTAAATAGACCCGGATATGTCTTTGGTTTGCAAGTCAAGCTAGCTGCATGGACTTCGTTTCAACATGGCGATTCCATGCACGGCTTTTGCTTCAGTGATTCACTTGCTGGCCCGGCAGTACAGTTCAGTTGGATTCGTTTGGATATTAAGAGTCAAAACGCTGACGCAATCGGAGGCTGCTGTGTCATGGCTGATACTGTTTTTTTAGGTGACAATCGCAAATAATTGCGGCCCGTCCATTGCTAGCCGTTCGTTTTGGGGCCGAAGGCAATTTACAGAGTCACAGTTGGGGAACTAACAATGAAGCCTTTTGACGTGGCTGGCTGCTTTGTCATTTCCGCTTGCCATCAGCTCCGCTTGGCATGTCAGAAGTCATTAATGTTGCGCGGCGTGGCCAGTAAACTGTAAAATTAAAGCCGACTTGCTTGGCTTCTCGTAGATTGCGTATTACGTATAAATTGAAACTGTCAATCCGTATGGCGCCGGATCAGAGTGACAAGTGGCAATATATTGTTTTAGTTTTTTGTTCAATGACTGGCGATATTGTATCGCCGCAATAGCCTACTTAAGCCTATATAAGTTTCAAAATTGATTATGTTGATTGTTGGATCTTGACGTTCAATTTTGTTCTTTCCCATGGAATTTAAAAAGAAATGAAAATTGAAAAGAGATCCGTTAGCTTTGGTAAACCACAATTGAAATACCTTCAGCTGTTTTGCTCATTAGCTATGCAAATTACTTTGGCTGTGACACAGTGATTGATCTTTACATTACCTCATTTTCATTTACACGACTGACTATATTTCTGAGAAATTCCATGATTTTATATTTCGATAAGCCAAGGATTAAGTATTTCCCTACTGCACTACAAAGAAGACAGGAATAATTTGGAAAGGACAATCTTTTTTTTGGGGGGGGGATGATAAATAATTAATGAAAAAGAGTGGGAGGATAAGTAATTAATTAACAACTGTTACTTATTTGGATGATCCATACGATTAGATATGAGTGAAAAAACATCAAATCAATCCACAAACTGCACTAGGTGGGATTTCAACAGGGTTATAAAATTTTGGAAGACGGCAGACGACGGAAATTGCCACTTTCATGTACTGCCCATAACATATGCACGTATTTTAAATGCGGTCTTTTTGTGTCCTATATATTATCCTACTTTGAGATATGGCAGACACAAGAGAAAGGCTCTGTTTGATTTGGGTAAACTCATTTGTATTTACCCATACTAAATAGCGACCTCCTATCTCAAATAGGATGTGACAGGGATTGGTCTCAAAATGAAACTGCGTTCAATAACAGCTCACATCTTCCCAACAGCAAGTGACGTAAAGAGGGCTCCTTGAGCATGTGACGATCATGTGATATTTTAAAACGAAGACCCCCCTCCGTGCGAAGCCCCCAATCAGTGTCCTTTAAAACAGTGGCACTAATGACGAACCATTCACCTTGATGAAGTGATTCATCAGCATTGCTCGCAACAATGCTACGCCTAAGGGCCCGTGTAATCAAAAGCTGTGGGCTCGTTTCGTATCTGCGTGTGTCACTTTCACGCCTGCTTCGTTTTATTAACGGATGTTTTTTTTTCAGTGGGCTGCAATGTCGTCCTTCCTCGTTTGTCCCTCGAACATTATGTTGCACATAAAACGAAAACTACTGCGTTATTATCTTTTGTACAACGCCGGAATACAGGGTGGATAAAAAAAACCCGAGATATTATTGCTAATTGGAACAGAAGTAGGGCACATGTGAATCAAAGGGAGACATCCTCTGTTAGGGTTGAATCTCCTCTTTAAAATGACATTCTGATCATGTCCTTACATTCACGGTTGACTGAGCAGTGACCAATTTTATGAAAGGGTCTATTTACAGGCTTGCGCCACTTTTCAGTTGTGGTTTTTGTGTTGTCATTTGTCACAGAGTGAAATGCTATGGTTGCCAATCAAGGCAGGTAGGGGAAAAAGAGATTTCACCATGAAAAGTGGCGCAAGACTCTAAATAGACCCTTTCATAAATTGGTCACTGCTCAGTCAACCGTGAATGTAAGGACATGATCAGGGTGTCATTTTAAAGAGGAGATTCAACCCTATCAGAGGATATCTCCCTTTGATTCACATGTGCCCTATTCTGTTCCAATTAGCAATAATATCTCGGTTTTGTTGTTTTTTTGATCCACCCTGTATATCCCCGTCATCTGATTGGTTGGGCGTTGATCACGTGTCATTGAATTATTTGTCCCACACCACGGCCCGGCCGCACCGCTAAAATAGAAGTTCCATTTCACGGTAAATACAGGGTGGCCTAAAAAAATTCAACCCTGACACATTTGCCTTCTTTTTAAAACATGATCGGTGAATTTTTATGTTTTGATTGAAGCTGAGAGCTTTGTCTTTCAAATACTGAAAACAAATTCATGAAAACAGCACATTGGGTTGCTGATAAAATGCCAATTATGTAAAAGAAGTGATGTTGTATCCTTTCCAAAGGTGCTTCAAACAGTGACACATGTCGCTGTAATCCCACTGTGCAATTGTCTTTTATTTGAGCAATTTCTTAAATATTTTGACAAATTTATGACTAAAAAACTAAAAAGGATAAGATACCTGTTCAGCTGGAAGATAAAAGGTATTTCCATGAAATTTATATATTTTTTTATTTGTCAGGGCTCGCCAACAGAAGTTCTCAAGTCAAACCCGTTCCTGACCGTCGTCATTCTGGTGACGGGGGTGGTAGGGGGTCTAGCCCTGGTCATTGCGGTGATATTCTTCTGTAAATACTGCGTCAACAAGAGACGGCTACCTGGCAGGTGAGTGGTGTACAACTCTATGACGAATCGATATTTGACAATACACAAAACTACGGTGTTAAATTAACTTGATGATGTTAAATTAACTGTATAGTTTTAAACTATCATCGTGGTATAAAATTAACATCCTGGTATTAAACTGACACTGTGGTGTAAAATTAACACTATGGTTTTAAACTGACACTATAGTGTTAAATTAACACTATGGTTTAAACTGACAATGTGGTGTAAAATTAACACCCTGGTATTAAACTGACACTGTGGTGTAAAATTAACACTATGGTTTTAAACTGACACTATGGTGTAAAATTAATGGTGTTTAATTAACATATTGGACGGGATTGGTCAATATACAAACCATTTGATGTAAACAACGAGTTTTGCCGAGGAAAGATAGCTAAACAATAATGATGGTACATTCTGATGTAATTTTGTTATGTGATAATGGACATTTAAATTTTTAACACCACACGCTTTGGGTTTTTTTCACACTAGCACAGCGCAACATCATGCATACCATATAGCACCTCAGATGAAAACGGCATGGTGGCTGTATTGTTTTGAAGGGGCAGGTTACAGATGAAGCGAATTTGTAACTACAGCTTTCAATAAAGTGATTTGGGTGCAACGCAGGGCACTCCAAAACCAATAATTGAAGGTTATTTATTGTGCGTGCTCTGCTGTAAACAAAATGCAGATAACAGCCATGGAAGTTTGAACTACCTTTTGTGTCGTACGCCTCATGTTAGTTATTCTAGGCTGCCAGCAGGTCTACTGATAGTGAAAACTATGTAGCATTTTATTCTAATTTAAGGTGATGATTGGTCCTTCACCCAACTTTCTTTCCCCACCCCTCTACAATTACATATCCTTTATATATCCAGAAGTAACATTTGTCACACAAGCAATGGCTCGCCTTTAATAGTCTGCGCTATGCGAGTCCCTCCTGTCCAGATATAGCTTTTGGAGCCTCAGCGTTCTCCGCCGTGGCTACCCCGCCGCCTAAATTTCATAATTCCATTTTATGTCCTTTCTACCTGTTTATACCTAAGGACGAGCTTTGCCCGTAAATTACCAGCCTCGCTTTATGTTGAGCTCTGTCTGGAGAAAAGGAAAAAAAATATCAAGAGAAGGAAATCGTCCAGACAGAATGTGACCCCGGAGACAAATTACTGTTCAGACTGGACAGCTCTTATGAAGGACTTTTCCGTTACTTTTAACCACATGCAGGTGGTGCAGTGTGGCTTTTTTTTTTTGGCTGTTTCTGCTTTAGGGTGAGAGAAAGAAATTGGCAATCCAGGTGTGGCTAAAGATAGCAAACAAGCAGTGCAAGCACGGTTAGATCGGGGAGGGGAGTGAGTCCTTCACGGGAGCTCTCCTCTCTAAAACGTTTCACAAACAGAATATGGAGTTTCGAACATTCTCTTCACTCAAAAGAACTCTCTTGTTTTTTTACTGGACGATTGTCGTTATAACCTCTGGCCCGATGCTGTTCAAAATAAAGTTGCTCGCACTTTTAGCTGATTCTTCCGAAAAGGTATTAAACATTTTCACTCGAATTAACGGTACATTTTAGAAAGTTTCACACTAAAATACCGGGTCAATTAACGTCCAGTGACGCATTTATTTCACAGGTGTAGGCCTAAGAGTGTAAAAGACCTATTTCCTCAAGCGCAAATGCCAACGAAACAAAGTCATCTGCTGTTGTCTATCAAATCAAGAATAATGCAAAGGAACAACAGCAGGGGGAAAGACACAGGATACGACCGGAGGGAAGTCTAAACAACTCGGGCCAAATATACCAAAAAAAGAACTCTTTCGTTTTCCCTGAAAACCTCACCTCACGTCCTTCACACCCATCTATCCCCCTTGACTCACCATTAAAGGGAAAATACACCTGCAAGCCCACCTGCTGGGATGTAAATACTCCGAGGTGAAATCATCCTGCCGTTTGCTCCCGGGTCATCTATGCCCTAACCCCGCTTGGGAAAAGAAATTCTACCCTTTTTTTTCAGCAACCAAGTAAAGTCACCTACCATACCACGCATGCGTGAAACATTGCACGTGACTGAATATCACGGATTTTCAGATAACTTCATATTAAGGTTAAGATTTCGAGTTAAGTCGAAGCAATTTCGTAGCCCTGTGGATTAGATTGGTGTTTTTGGATCACAGGTTCGCCATTTTCAATGAAATAAATTTCAGAGAGTTCGAGAACCCCTCCGTTCACAACTGACGCATGACTATACTGGGTTGCAGAAGGTAATATTGTCTCAGGGCAGCTGCATGGAGACTGCAGAGAAGAAAAAAAGTGTCGCGTGACACACACACACACACTTACGAGTTTTTGGTTGTCTCGCGCACGTGCGCGTTTTGCCACCTCCTCGTGAACTTCGTCATGGGTGTTGCAACGACCTATTTCTCAAGTTCACGCAGACAGACGGCGTGAAATGGAGTTAACCCGATCCGTCAGTGAAGTCAGCAGACTTTAAGTCAAGACTTATCAAAATATGTTCACCAGAGAACGTACTGGACTCAATTTCTTTCTGCGAAACTGAAACTACTGCTGAGCAGATTTCTGTGCTAAGCAAAGACCATTGGGAACCAGTTAGAGAGCAGTTTACATTACACGACATTTTGGTTGGTAACATGCTTCGGTCAAGCAAAATGTTTTTCGGTGCTTAGCAAAGTTTGATGCAGACTGTATGACTCACGACTTAGACTCGGACTCGAGTCTGACTCGAGTTCCATTTTCCGTGGCTCGGACTCGGACGCGGAGTCGACCCTGTGGACTCGGACTTTGACTCGAACGCGACCTGGTGACTCGGGACTCGATCAAAATTACCACAAACCACTTATTTGTTTTCAACAATGTAATCACATTTTGAAGACGATCCTTTCCTTTTCAAGCCATACTATCTGTGCGGTGCAGAAGAAACGCATTTGAGTACTGTACATACCCAGCGCGTGTGGCTGGCTTGTTTCCGAGTTATTGATTTGGGAAATCAAGTTGAGGTTTTAGCAGTATCTCAAAATTGATTTCGTATATATAGGCCTAGTACTTAAAGGTCACTTGTGATTCAGACTCGGACTCGCCCTTTATTGACTCGTGACTCGGACTCTGACTCGACCTTTAGTGACTCGTGACTCGGACTCGGACTTGAACTCGATGTTCGGTGACTCGAATACAAGGCTGCTTAGCAGCTCGAAATTGCCGGATAACAACCCTGGATGATATTTTCAAGCTGATATTTCATTCCGATGTTCGGATGATCAAACCAAAAACCATTGACCGAAACGAGACTCGAACCTACGACCGACGCCGTCCCGCGCAAACTCTATATGCCGTGCCCAATTCCCAGTCAAGTGCATTTCATGTTTCATGTACTGTGAGCACGAGCGAAACATTATCCAATAACAGTGCTTCATTTCCGGAAACAAAAACCTCTGTTATAGTGTCTCTGAAGCCACTTCTTTAAATTAAAACAAAAACTCGTTGCACTTGCGTCACTTTACCAAGGCACCGACTGAGGCAGATATTGCTGCACTGGTAAACTATAACTCAATTCTGATAATGCTCGAAAGTTGTAATTGTTTGGCCCTTGATGGCCCGTGCGTTGAGGGGGAAAAAGATAGCGCACTTTATTAGGTTAACGTATCGAGCGACTTGTTTTATCCAGTTACGGCGGAGTGCGGACCGAATGATGATGTTCCTTCGATCGCTTCTGCGGACTTTATCTCGAGGGTAATGTGGCTCTTAATGGATGCAGCGCTATATACGCGCCGCGTGCAGACACACCAGTAACGGGGGGAGGGGTTTCAAACATCGGCTTTCTCTTCTGCTTTGGATCAGAATTGGTCCATGTTTTTTTTTCAGGAATATCTTATACTATCAGGCGATGGTTTACTGTACATGTATTTGGTTTCGATTAAAGCCTATTAAACATGATATGTTGTCACATTTTCTGTTTTAATTGTCAGAGATCCCGCCTTCTTTACTCCCATTCCGCTGGATTTGGATTTAGAGAGCCGTTCCCGCTCGGGCACGAATCGACGGCTGGAATCGAGACCAGAAGACGTGCGGTTACCGCCCTACGAGGATATCGACGGATCGCCTGAAAGGTCAGTATATCAAAAGAAAAAAAATATTTAAAAAGGAACTTTTCTCAAACGTTGGTTTCGACTGTGACGACGGCACTAGGCTTAAGCTTCATGGTTGTAGGCGGGTAACGTCATAGACTCCGTCTCACTACGGATCTATATTCTGTAAGACTTTGATTCGAAGCTAAAATGTGGATTATTTCCATTTGTTAAAACGGCCAAGGCCTGCTGGTGTTTTCAGCCCGAGTGCGAAGCCGAAGCAAGAGGCAAAGGATTGCGATTGATGAAATGACCAAGGTTGAAATGTCTTAAGAGACTATTCTGGTGTCAAATTTAATAAGATTGTGTGCACAAATCCTCGAGAGCACACTCTTCGGGATAATAATTAAAAGTCACATATAGCCTCCAGACAGTACACGTCGGTCTACTTATAATTTGTCTCACATTTTTCAGTTAACATAAGGCCACAAAAATAGTTCTGCTTCTGATTACATGCATGGCATTTGAAAATAGGGGAGGTAGGTTTTTGTACAATCGTATCGAGGTGACTGCGTGTAGTCAAGGCAAAAAGGCAGAAATCGATGGTTTCGGGGATTTTTCCCTTATTTTCCCCCAAAAAGAGTTAGGATAGGGCTGTCAAAGTAGGGTAGGTAGGGTAACTGGAAGCAGAACTATTATTTTATTGGCATAATTACGTCGGTTTTACACGTCTTACACGTCGGTTTTACAAGTCAATACCCACTCATAAATTAAGCATCGCATGCAGACAACCACCTGCTGGTTCTGCCTCTGTTTCTTGAGCCTATACATAGCAGACTCAAAGGGTAAACGCAATTTATGATTTAGGCTAGCGACTTTATAGATCGATTGCATTAAGCGGCCATCTTGGCGGTGTGTTTAATATTTTTATTCATTAACAATGAATGCCCGGAATGTCCACTCACACACATACTGGAATTAGTATCCTTGTGGAGACATTCCTTTGTTCTCGTGTACTAAAGTTTTCGAGTTTGAAAGTGTAGTTTAGAAATGCTCTTATTTTAACCAGAATTAATTTCCTTGGCTCAAATTTGGACTTAATATCCCTTTTCTAAAACTCTTCAATTTGCGACAAATCAACATAGCTTAGAAATTCCTAGTTTTTGAGTATAACGCCATATAATATTTCGTGAAAACCTTGTGGAGACGTATTCATCTATAGAAAATGCCCTGTGGAGACGTATACAATCTTTTGTTCCCTATTGTACACACGTCTCCAAAGGGTACGGTGTATCCGATCATTCCTTTCCATGCTGGAAAAACACAACACTCATCAAAGATAGCTGTAGTGTAAACAATTCTATTCATGTAATCTATTCATAAAGTGGCTGAAAAGGGGCAAAAGGTGTAGTATTCACAAACGATGATACTTTTTTCCCCCGTAAATCAAACCGAATTGGTTGTCTGGATACTCAGATCTTGATAACACGTGAAGAGAAATTCGCGAGGTGTACACAATTATTTGAGATCTTCCACCGTTTGCATATATTTATGTTTATTTACCAAGACCGAAATTTGAACTTTGCATAGTGCAGTGCGTTAATTGCTGTTCCGTACAATTATTGTGCAACGATACGCGATGCATTCGTTGAAATGCACTGAGCTGTAAACTGCAATGATTTGCGCCCTGTAGTACATCAATGCAATATGCCTCGATGGCAAGACGCGGGAAAAAATATGACATTTATTGACGTCCTCCCGCTTTAGTTCACAACACACACGTTTGTCTCTATCGAAGGGAGCCTTGAATCTAAAAGAGGGCGGGGCGGACCCCCCATATTTTCATATCGTCGTGTAAATTTCTAGTTTCGTGCCGAGCTTTTTATGAATTTTTAGACAAAGATCCTGCGGACATTTTGACACCACTTTCATAACAAACAAAACAATGGACGAATCGTTCACAAAAGAGCGGGATGCCATAAAATCTTTCTGGATTTTTTTAAATAAATGCCAAAAATATTATCAAATGTCCTACTTGATTGTATTCGTAAATAATATGTGAAATTCATTTTGCCTATACTGCTGTCATTTTCAAGAAAAGAGGAGTGTGATATCTACAGAGCTGAACTTTTGACAGGTTTTGCTTTGTGCGATGAGCAAAGTGGGCCAAGCGTTGGTGGGCCCACTTTGGAATAGACAAGTCTATCTCACAAAATTAGGTTTGGCTTTGTGCAATGAGCAAAGTGGGTCAAGCGTTGGTGGGCCCACTTTGGAATAGGAAAGTCTATCTCACAAAATTAGGTTTGGCTTTGTGCGATGAGCAAATTTGGCCAAGCGTTGGTGGGCCCACTTTGGAATAGAAAAGTCTATCTCACATAATTAGGTTTGGCTTTGTGCAGTGAGCAAATTTGGCCAAGCGTTGGTGGGCCCACTTTGGTATAGAAAAGTCAATCTCACACATAGATCTATCTATTGTATTAATGGTTAAGCATTGTATTAAACATTGTGCATTGATATAACAACGCCAACAACACGATAAAGGTTTGGGCTATGGTTTTGAGGCAGCTTTGGTAAGACCTGCTGATTGTCACACGTTCTTAGAGCCATCGCCTCCCAATAGATATTCTAATCATCCATTGGCATTCGTGTCCCACACGTACAGGGATCAAAGGCTTGTCAGTCAACGGCCTGACAAAACCGCCCACATATACAGAACGCTTTTCAGTTTCATTTCAGCCTATATAGGCAAGTAGGGCACGCACCAGGCCAAAACAATCACTACTATACTCCGTGCCTGCACAACTGATTAACATCTCAACTAGGTTTTGGTGATTAAAACAGATTGGCATCGCTTTCCTGTGTCCTTTAAAGACTTAACTGTCAACTCGACAGCCGTCAGAAGTCCACCGATCGTTTGGAACGATCGAGAGTATTCTGCTCAGCGTTCCTCGAACTTCAAGAGAAGTCTCTGTGAAAGAGCGCTGACAGACAGAGAAGGAGATCTGACCGATAGAGCATTGATGGCGTGTGGGCGTTGTGAAGCCTTATCTCTCGGCCCCTTTGAGCCTACTAGTCACCCCTCCGAGAGCATCATGTGTCCGCTCAAGCTTCCCCCATCATCAGTCAGTAATTCTACCGATGGAAGGGACGGAATAATTGACAACATTTGTCTGCGAGGGCCGGAGTTTTTTGTTTCTTCGCAGCAATAATGAATGACATCGATTGTATTCTCTTTGATGGCTCCTGTCCGCAAGAGCTGTCGGCGTTTCACTTGTCCACCCCCATGCCGCCTTGGCCAACCCACACACACCCTCCTTGAAATCATCCTGTGCATGACTACCCTTACATCAACCAAATCATCTTAGTAAAAATCGGATCGAGAAAAGTAGAAAAGACTAAATGTTTTGAAGACTTTTTTCCAAACAAAATCGTGCCGTTCATTTTACATAGAGGCAAAGAAGTGTTTCAACGCCCTGCCATTTGAATAGTTTATGTGCATGATGTTTCATCTTAGATTAACGACTGAAATATTCAATGTGTACATTGCAATGCATATGTATGCTGGGTACCAGTTCACATCATGCTATCAGCAGTTAGGTACGAAAATGTTAAAACGTTTTCGCTGCCATGATGGAGGAAACTTTTTTGACAATTGCTCTTCAGCGGTTGTGGGTTAAATGTTTCTGAAAATGGGGGGGGGGGGGGGTAAGTGTTTAGAATAATGCTTCCAAAGTATTCTCCCGGAAACATTATTAGAGAAACAAGTGCACTGATCTAGAAACAAAGGATGAGAAAGCATTGATAATTATATCCAACAAAACAAATCAAATTTAAATAAATAAAATAAACATAATTATTACAACAAAATTAATGTATTTATTATTTAAACAATATTACATTTATTTGAAAATATACTGAGGTAGACCTACTATTTAAAATGAACATCTAACTCGATCATAAACTATATCCAGTTGTTCGGATTGACCAATATTTCTTCTCCTCAGCACGTGTCATTTTTCCCTTAGTCCGCGCAGAACTTAATCTATGGAATTCGGCAAAACTTAGTCCATGGAATATCCCCTTGAACAGCAAGGGTGTATGATATGCGAGCAGATCCGGCGATTAATTTACCAATCGCGTTAGAATCGCGTCAACGCAGCTTGTGAAATATTGTCCAATTACATGATATACAAATGGACGCGAAACGTGCAAAATCTGAGACAAACAAACTTAGTGTACAAAAATTCCATAGGGTTGTCTAAGCGGTGTTGCTCACTCGTAAACGGCGATAGGTCAATAATTATGCAACTAGACTGCGTCTTGACCTCGAGATACTGGCCATTCAGCGGGCGTCTTCTATATCGAGTCTTCAGCAACCCGATTTGAAAGCCGATGTCGGGTTTTATTTGATCACTTTGCCCGTTGTTGTATTACAAAACATGGCATCCAAGTTGACCAATCAACAGCTCAGTCCAGATTTCGAAATGAAATGACCTCATGTCGACTCCAATTGGCTGGCGCGCAAGGTGGCATGGTTATATATATCAGACGTTGGACCAGAGACGGAGAGGGTTCCGTTGGAGAACGGGTTATACTCAGGCTACGCAAAACATGGGAGTTGCGATGAAATCTCACACGACCAAGTCAAGATGGCACTTGCAGCTAGTACACAAACGCCATGTACATGTACACGCTTGGTAATTGAAAGTCGTTTATAATCGCAATATGCGCGGAGGGGGAAAAACGAAGGAAATAGCATTACCTTGGTGTATAGTTCGGTTTACAGGAGACGTTAATGGGTCCCGAGCGTGATGGTGCACGTTTCGGTAAGCGTGCAACACCCGGACTATTACTACATCATATACAAGGAAAGTACCGCCAGGGGGGCCATTACGGTTGTGACCAAACCTCCCCCTGGAGGACTGAATCGTCTTCCTTATAAGGGGGCAGAAGCATTTCCCCGCAAACTGCCCAATGAATTAATAAATACAATCAAGCGAATGAGATTGGCGGAAACTCCAAAGTCCTAGGGGACGCAGGAC